GTTTATGACTAGACAACCAATTTTTTAATTGTGCCAGCTTTTAAATATTATCTTCTATAGTAAATGCTTTGTTATCTGGGCAAGTAAAAGGATGAAATATTGGTAAAGAGTTCCAGTTAAATGTGCATTAAAATTCTGTTTGTGTACACAAAGAACTAGGACTATCTCCAGAGTGCTCAGGGGACTGGGGCAAGTCACATGGGATAACTGAGTCCTCCATCATTGAAATATATTTCCTCAGGCAAAATTGGGTTAAAATGAACTTCAAAGCCCTCTCAGATCTAGAGAAACCAGAGCTTAAATGTCAGAATCAGAGAAGGTAAAATTGTGATTAAAATACAATAAGTCACCATGAGATGGGGAAAGTCACAAAGGGCAGAATTCAATGATTTGTTTGCAAAGGATTATTGTGTCTCTACTAACACCCAGTGCTATGCCAGAGGATGGGGATTCAATAATGAAAAAGTCACTGCAGTATATTTTGAGAAACTCACAAAATGGCAATGGAAATGTATGTGAAAACTGCATATAAGGTGAATGGGTTTCTACTTAAGTGCTAGAAAGCCCAAGGGTCATGCAGGCCTTCACAAGGGTGATGACAGCTGACACGGCCTGTACAGTTTTCTGAGGCAGAATAAAAAAGTCATTACACATGTAGGTAAAGGAATTATGAGACTAAATTCTAGAAAAGCTCCCCAGATTGGTGGTGAGGGACACTATGGAATTTTCAAAAGGAAAATAATGCAGATCAGCTCTGAGGTTCTTTATTACACCTTGCTCTTTGGCATTAATATAATGATTTAAAATGATGAAAAATTGAATAGTAAAGACCAGTAAAATGAAAAGCAGTGCTTTACCCCAGTTGCCACCCACCCCCTTCCCTGCCTCTGTCTCACAGGCAATCTCTTGTTTTCAGTTCCTCTGGCATTTCTCACTAGACCTCTACATAATAACTCATAGAAAAATGTCAGAAAGGCTGGGCATAGTGCCACATGTCTGTAATCCCAGCTACTCAAAAGCCTGAGGCAGAAGGATGGCAAGTTTGAGGCCAGCCTGGGAAGCTTAGCAAGATCCTGTCTCAAAATAAAAAATGAAAAGAGCTGGGAGTGTAGCTCAGTGGTAGAGGGCCCTGTGGTTTAATCCCCAGTAAAACACACACACACACACACACACACACACACACACACACACAGTCAGAAAGGAGACATTCTGATTGAGAATTCTAACCTCCAGGGCTAGTTAGGCTGGAGGTTGGAAGACTAGAATCTTCTGTTGCCTAATCAACTTGATGTGTTGCATATTGACCCGACTCTGAAAGATGAATGCTTTGTTCAGATACACACTCCTCCACTTGCAGAACCCTATCTTTGATGCCACTTGTGATGACCCATGTGCAACCAACCACTGGATAAGCTGTAGATCCTTTGAGTGGCAGGCTTACTTTCTTTAGAGGATTTTCACTGTTGTGCCCAGATAGAAGTGCTGCCCAGGCTACTGCTCCAAGTGGAGATGAAATAGTGCAGCTTCAGTTTCTTCCCACTCCAATTGGAACCTCACTTCCTGCTGTGTTCCCTCTTCCAACCTCCTGCCCACTTGAGCCAAAAAAGTCACTTCAGGTTTATGAGACAATTTGGCTACCTTCTCCACTGCTACTCTGCCCAGAGAGTCTGGGGTGTGGCACCTCTCTTCTCTTTCATTTGTCAATCAGTTTTGCAGGTTCTGCTTTACATCTCCCAGATATTTGGTGAAATAGTTTATTCTCTGAAGAGCCCTCCCATCCCAGTCAGTCCTTCTCTGTTCATCCCTTTTGGCTGAGATGAGTGGGTGGCTGTATTCACTTTCAATTGCTGTTATAACAAAGAGCCACAAATTTACTAGTTTGCAACAATACCCATTTATTAGCTTACAGTTCTATAGGTCAGGAGCTTGGGCAGTATGTGGCTCAATAGATCCTCTACCTAGAGTCTCACAAGACAAAAGTCAAGGTTTAATTTTTTTTCTGCAGGCTCTGAGGATGAATCCACTTCCAAGCTCCTTCAGGTTGTTGGCCAAATTCAGTTCTTCAGGTTTCCTTGCTGGCTGTTGGCTTAGAATTCAGCCTTAATTTCAAGAGGCTGCCCACATGCCCCCTCATTCTTTCCCTGTGGCCTCTTTCAGCCACGCTGACTTAAGTCCTCAAAATACTTGGAATTTCTTCATCCTATGCTTTTGCTATATCTCTCTGCCTCCACTGCCCTAAGGAAGTTTTCTGTTCTTAAGAGGTCATGTGATTAGATTGGGACCAGCTGGATCATCCAGACTACTCTTCCTAATTTAAGGTCTGTAACCTTAAGTACATCTACAAGGTCCTTTTTGTCATGTAATATACTCACAGGTTTCAGGCTTTAGGTAGGGCATAGATATCGGTAGTAGGTGGTTCTACTTACCACAGTGGGCAGGAACCCTGTAGCTCAGACCACAGTCTTCAGTTCTGACATTCTGGAAGGATTTTAGGACTACTATAGCTTCCATGTAGTATAGCCTGGAGAAACTGGGGCAAGTATTGGGGTGTTCGATTAGGAGATGACTTGAAAAAGATCATCAAATAGTGGTGACGTTCATCAGGAACAGGGGAAACTAGAAATAAGAGGACAGACTTGAGAGGCATTTCAAGAATAGATCAGACCCTTTTGACAAAATAGAATATGAAGTTCTAAGAAAGAATTAAAGAGTCTAGGATGATTCCAAGGAAGCAGGTTTGGTTAGTAGGTGGATAATGTTGGCACAAAGTGAGATGGAAGGTTGCATCCCTCCAGTCTTCCTTTAATATCATTATCTATTTTTAACTTAAAATCCATCCCCAGTTATTTGTCCACTCTGCCACAATCCTAGTTCAAGTTCTTGTTATCCTTTGTCATGATTTCCATCATGAGAGTCCTCACATAATTCAGTTTCTTTGAAATCTTTTCATTTCTAAAATATCAGACAACCTGGTCTTTCTTGCAGGTCTATGAGGCCTGCTAAATATTGTCCATGAAATGGCTAAAACAAAGCAACCTGTCACCTACCTTTTGAGAAAGGATTTCAGAATATATCATGGTGCCCACATTTATACCCCATAGTTAAATCCATTTTAAGCTCTGAATTTAGCCAACTCTTTGCAATGAAAGTAATTTAGCATACATAACCCATGTTTACTCCATATTAAATACCAATGACAGCAAAGGAGCCAGCAGACAAGGCTCATAGAGCTCTGAGACTAAGACAATAAATCATATTGTCTGATATACCCAGTATACTGAATGAACCACTCTTAGTGTGGCCCTAGCTTTACTCATTTCTACTGATGAACCTGCAGATCACAGAGTCCAGTATGGCCTAAAAGCAAACCTCCCATCACTCATCTAATTCAAAAATGCCCACTGTCTCAAAGCATGCACCTGACTCAGACTAGGAAGCTAATAGGAAGGGTTGGAGCATGAGCTTCTTTGATTTTTCTGCACTTTTCCCTTCCATTCCTAGTCCCTTACTTATGCTGCCTCTGGTTACTCCAGGATGAATAAGAGCAAAGGAGTAAAGTTAGGGGAGAAAGGTCTTACCTGCTTGTGTACTTAGAATCTGCTGGTACAGCAGAGGTATACCAACCAACTCTTTCTCTCACAGAATGCTTTGCTGTGTCTTTCAGTGACCCATGCTACTATGACAAAATACCAGAGTCTGAGTCATTTACAAACAAAAGAAAATTATTTCTCATTGTTATAGATCAACATGTTGGCAGATTGGTGTCTGGTGATAGCCCAGTTTCTGCTTCTAAGATGCCACCTTGAATGCTGCTTCCTACAGAGGGTAGGAACACTGTGTCCTCAATGGCAGAAAAGATGGCAGGAACAGATCAGCCTTCACATACTGTTTTATAACCCTCTTAAAGGGCCCACCTCTTAATGCTATCATATTGCCGATTAGGTTTCAATATATGAATTTTAGGGAACACATTCAGACTATAGCACCCACTCTCCTTTAGGAACTTTCCACTTTTCCCTCCCCTGCTGCAGATATGCAGTTTGCAGAGGCCATCTTTTACTTCTGGCAATCACCCCTCCCAGGCTTCTTCTATCTGGAACCTCTCTCCTAGACAGGGAGTCTTCTTGAGAAAGATCCCTTCCTGAGTCGACCCACTGAAAATCAGCCCCTTCACTGAACTGAATGTTCAACTTTCAAGTAATTCCTGTCAGCGCTCTCATGCGTGCGCGCGCTCTCGCTCTCTCGCTCGCTCTCTCTCTCTCTCTCTCTCTCTCTCTCTCTCTTCCCTGCCCTTCCAGAAATTGCCAGTGCCCAGACTTTAAACACATCCAGGTACGTGTCAGATAGTAATCTGTGTACCTTCTGAACTCTGGGGTCCTTTGCCCAGATTTTCCATAAACTTTCTCTCCAAGCTCTCTTCTGTTCTTATTGCTATAACTGGATGATGTATTTCTACCTCTCAACAAGCATCCAGAGGGAAGTATGGAGCAGAGGTAAGCTCCACCCACCACACAGCTTCTTCAGTTCCTTCAGTCAGCCCTCAGCCTCCCTCACACCTTTCAGATGAGTGCCAAGTTAAAGATCTTGGAAAAACACAATTACTTTGCTATTCTTTGGATATTGAGTGTCCCCCAAAGAACCACATATTAAAGGCTTGGTCCCCAGGGTGGTGCTAGTGGGAAATGGTGGGACCATTAGAAGGTAAGGCTTAGTGGAGGTTTTTAGGTCATTAGAAGTGTGCCCTTGAAAGGGGGATCATGAAACACTGGTCTTGTTCTCATCCTCTTTTGCTTCTAGACATAAGGTGAGCAGTTTGGGATACAACACACTCACTGCCATGGCCATCCAGCATGTCAACCAGAGAACCAAAGCAATGGCTGCACCTTATTTTGGACTGGAACTTCCAAAACTGTGAGCCAAAATAAACCTTTTCTCTTTATAAGTTAACTACCTCAGTTATTTTGTTATATTTCCAGAAAGCTAACACATTTTTTATCCTACAGACATGAAGTATTCTTCTCTCTGGATGTAGGAATTGCCACATTTTCTCGGTGTTGAAGCATCAGCTGAAACAAAAAACAAGAAGCATCTTATTTAATGTCATGTTGCACTAGATTAAGGACTGAAGCAGGCTGTCAGCATTTGTCTGAGCATATTAGCGAAATCAAACAACCTTAACAATATAGTGATAAAGATTTCATGCTTCAAGAAAACTTTGGTCAACTGAGAAAGTGAAAAATAAGATTCTAAATTTAATAGACTAGGTCTTCAAACAAGAAAAAATTCATGTCCAAGTACAAATCTGGAAGGGTCAAAACAGTTTGGGGCTCAATCAGAAGAGCAGCATAGTGATGCTACCATGAACTCCCATATGAAAACCATTTGTCACACTCTGGTAGTATTACATATTAGTTAATATTCCCAATGGCATGCACAAAACCAGGAAAATATCAAGTGCTACACAAATAGCTCCAGAAATGGATGGATGGATAGATGGATGGACAGATGGAAGGTAAGCCTAAGTTCAACACCCTGGATCGCTTAGTGAATCAAATTCAAAGTTTTTCATAGCTCCTTAAAAAATAGTAACTAGAAGTTATAATATAAACCTACAGTATATTCTTTGGAGTTTGTGATAAATATTTATTCAACTCAGTATTAAAATGGATGCAGTTCTCTTTCTATAATATGATTCAACTCTTCTCAGCTAATCCTTTCATATTCTTTACAAAAATTATTAAATAATTTTTGTAAAGTTTTGCTTAAGATTATTTATTGTTGTTTTAAATCATGAAGGTAGACACATGGTTTTCAAAGAGGTGAAATAATCCCTCTGGCTATGTTATAAATTGAAATATGAATTGAATGATCTCTACCTGGCTATTGAAATAAAAATAGCTACAACCAGAGTACAGATAAAACAGGTAACAAACACCCTTGCATATTTTGTTTCCATCAGGTTTATTTCTGTCCAGACATTCACCCTTCCTAGTGCAGGACCATCTCTATTTATACCTCATGATCAACATACTGTCTATAGTGAGTGCTAATTCATTTCTCAAGGAAAGAACCCTTTCTAAGAATAATACAGAGAGTGTTTCAAATGCAATTTGATTGATCTTTATCCTCAAATAGTGGTTTCTAACCTAAAGATAAAGATTTCTTCCTTTTTCTATTGAGTGACAACTAAATTCTCCTTTGCAACATTTGGTGATATATCTATTGATCTACTGAACCATTAAGAGGCACAGAAACTTTCATTTAGCCATCTTTGAACTTTAGGTGAGATAATGGAATAAAACACGGGCTCCTCCTCATAGCTTACTCATTCCTTCAAAGTGTAACAGGGATTCACTTGATGCTTTGACTATATCCCTTTTGGCTTTGAAACTTACATGTTTTTTTTTTCTTTTTTCCAACCTTCTTCTCCCTAACCTTCTCCCTGATCTTCTTTTCCCTAACCTTCTCCTCCCTGATCTTCTTTCCTCCCATCTCTCCTCCTTAATCTCATTTTCTGTGAATCACCTCTTTAAAAAAACCCTGTTCCTTCCAATGGGCAGAATCACAGCCTTTGGGACAGGAGTCCCCTATATTTCTCCTTTGCTAGCAAAGCAATAAACTGTCTTTTTCCTTTTTCTCAAAATTGTATTCTCATTATTGGATTGGCATTGGGTCAAGGACCAAGCTTTCAGCAACAAAAGGGTGATATCCCCACCCCCTACCATGCTTAGGATTAATTCAATCAATAAATCTTTAAAGCCTGCTACCTTATTGAAGTACTCTTATATGCCCAGGAAATGCATGATTGCTCCTCTAAAAAAGCTCATGACCTAAAATAAAGAACAGAGAAGTAAGTGAATACTTACTTTCATTCAAAAAAAATTAGTTAGACAAATATTTATCAAGGCCCAAGTGTGAATATGACAAAGTGGCCACAGTATGCCCCTGAGAATAATGGCTTTTCTCAGACCTCTTTGAAAGCCATGTGTCTACCTTCATGATTTAAAACAACAATAAATAATCTTAAGCAAAACTTTACAATTCTTTTCCTTAACCACTCAGAACTTCACACCTAGAATCCCTCTGGTTTCAGTTACCTATTGCTATGTAACAAACTACTCCAAAACTTAATGACTTAAATAAAAAAATTTTTTTTCATGATTCTGTGAGTTGATTCAGCTTGATGATTCTTCCGGTCCATTTTGCATTTACTGAAGTCACCTTCCTAGCTGTAGTCAGCTAGCATCTGGGCTGGATAAGAAGGTTCAAGAAGGCTTTACTCACATCTGGTGCCTCATTGATTCTTCACATGGTCTCTGCATATGGTTCTTGGGCTTTAGAATGTCATATTCTCTGCCATCTACTAGTCAAAGCAAGTCACAAGCCCAATCCAAACATCAGGGAAGAAAAAATAGACTTTACCCTTTGATGAGTGGAACAACATGGAACATAGGAATTGATGGTGATCATCTTTGAAGGCTATCAACCTCACTTCCTAATGTGAAATAAATTCCCCTCTCTGCATAAGGTTGTCAAATTACACCACCAATAATTTCAAAACTCTGTGATATATTACATGACAGAGGTAAGAGTTTGTTACCATGTTGTCAGAAAGGAGGAAATCATCAATATTACTTTTGGAAGGATATAACTGGCAATATTTCACAAAGGTATTAATCCTTCATGGTAACCCTCAAACCCTTGTGCTTTAACACCTAAGGAACTGTTTCATACAGTGCACATTTCCTAAATAATAAACTATGATTGACTAAGAAGTCTGTATTGGTTAGGGCAGGTTAACTAATGCAGCAAACGACTCCCAAATCTTAGTGGTCTCACACATTAAAGGTTTACTTCTCATACATATTACAGTTCAGTGCAGCCCATCAGGTAGGCTCTGCTCTACACAGTCATTCAAGGATACAGGCCCCTACCATCTATGTGGCCTACTCCACTAGATGCTCTACATTAGGTCATACATTAGGATGTTTTAGTCAGCTTTTTCTCTACTATGACTAAAAGACCCGACCAGAACTGTAGAGGATGAAAAGTTGAACAAATTTCTGATTTTTCCCTTGATAATATTTTTATTTTTATTTTCAAAATATATTTCCTTTCCCACGGAATGATTTTTGTGTGTATACACAATCTGCTTGTTACAAAATCAAGTCTAGGCCAGGACCTAAAGAATGAATGCCAGAAGATGAAAGACAAGAATACAGAAAACTTTTGCAAACGCACAATTTTCCATAGATCTCTCCATTCCCGCCCCACTGAAGATACTCCTCAACATTACATTCAGAATAGCTCTGACCCATCTTGTAATAATAGTTCTGAAGAGAGATTGTTCCTCAGTTCTACACTGACAAACTACATAACTTCTGAAATCCTGGGTAGTTTGGAAGAGGATGTTATTTGAGCAGAAAACTTAAGTCCTAGAAGAGGCTAACCAGAATATTTCTCCACTATTCTGATATTTCACATATATGAGTCTGGAATCTCCATATCTATAATATATTTGTGATTAGTTCATAGAGAAAACACTATATTTTACAAGGACATGGAAATAAGAATACTGAGTATAGCATTAGCTATGCTGCAGTAACAAAAATCTCTTATTTCTCTTACTTCTTACTTATATGAAGTTCAATGCAAGTTGGCCAGAGTTCATTTCCAACTGGTGACTCAGGAATCCAAGTTTCTTCTATCTGTTGATGCTGGCATCTTAATAGATTAATTATCAGGTTATCATGGTTGGCAAGGAGAAGAATGGAAGAGGCACACCAGTTCTTCACTTCTATGCCCCATAAGTAATACATTTCCACACATAATTCATTCACTAGAAGTGGTCAGATGGCCTACAATTAACTGCAAAGGAAATTGGGAAATATAGGGGATCATAGAGTAAGTTTAATGAATATGAACAATCTTTGCCTTATAAGCAAAATAAGATTATTCACAAAAGCTAAATAAGCAACATTCATATATCATGGATGAAATTAAGAAGTCAGAAGGATGTGCATGTAAGTGGGTAATGAAAGAGTTTGGGATATATCCAAAACTATGAACACAGCACTGCTCTGGAAAAATCATTGGCCGACCTAGAGATTAACAGGCGTGGAGGCTAGCAGTGCATCCATCTTTCTTTCTCCTGGGAAAGAAGAGATTCTTTTGTTTTGTTTTGTTTCTTTGTTTTGGTATTGGAGATTGAACTCAGGAGCACTTAACTACCTAGCCACACACCAGCCCGTTTTTGTATTTTATTTAGAAACAGGGTCCCACTGAGTTGCTTAGTGCCTCACTAAATTGCTGCAGCTGGCTTTGAGCTCACAATCCTCCTGCCTCAGCCTCCTGAGCCACTGGGATTATAGGTATATGCTACTGTGCCTAGCTCAAGAAGGGATTCTTAAACTGATACTTCTATCACTGTTGCAAGGTGTTACAAGACTCTGATTTTAACCAAAGTATAATTTATACATGCTGCAAAAAAAGAAGAGAACTGGAAATAAAAGTGTAAAATGACTGAGATAAACCTTTTTTTTTTTTTTTTACAAAATTATGACTTGCTATCTTAATGATGTTATTAGAGAAAAGGGGGAGGAAGCCTGCCCTTTTGCAATTCCAATGAGAAAACTAATATCATTAGCTGATATCACCAATTCACATTATTTTTGCCTCAGGTGAAACAAAAGTGACTAGGTCATAATGGTCAAGCTTGAATGTGGGCATACCTGCATTTGTCCAGCCCTCCATATTAAAATGGGCACTCCCAGCTTCAACATTTGAAAAGTAGGGGGAAATATCACCAATAGAGGATTTTTTAAAAACCCACTGTGGTTAATATGTGATTATTATTTGATACCATTATGAAGATAATAAAAGAAACTAGAAAAACGATTTTGGGGTATGCCTGTCTCTTGATATTCTGAAATGTCCATCCCAAAACTTTCAAAAGTCAATGAAATAATTAGTACCATCAAGAAGAGGAAGTCATCCCTGATCTTTGCAAGACCCAGAATTACACCAGTATTGTCTCAGAGAGGCAGGTCTAGAAAGTGATTGTAAATTGGGGCTGCAGTTATAGCTTGGTGGCAGAGTGCTTGCCTAGCACGTGTGAGGCACTGGGTTCAATCCTTAGCACCACATAAAATAATTAACAGATACAATATAGGCATACTATCCATCTACAACTACACAAATAATTTTTTTAAAAAAGGAAGTGATTGTAAATTATCCCATTTTGTTACATTCTTCCCCATAACAGGCTTTTTGATGATGATCTACCTATACACTGAAAATGCATATAACAGAAGCAAAATACGTTGATGATTATCTAGGAGACAGGCAGGCACTGAATCTGATAAATACAAGTACTATACTCTTATTCCTTTAAGCTATGTGATTTATCAGAGTAATCCTGACCAGGGTGTAGACTCATCCACCAGTCTCAATTCTAATTTTCTGCTATCCATCCAAGTCTTCTCATTTCTACGCAACCTACCCAATGTCTGGAGATCAGAACAGAAAGTTTTAGGGTGGCTGACACAATGCTATAGCCCTGCACAAAGTTAGTGCTTGTATTTGTATTCTGGGTTATTCCTCAATCTTTTAGGTGTTTGACTAGTTTGAGTCAGTTTCTAAGAACTCCACATGAGAACCAAAAATCCAGGAAATGATCAAAAAAACTAAACATACTCTGTGATTTTTATAAAACTGGCTGTCTGTTCTAGTAAACTCCAAACCTGGCAATAGCACTGCAGTGCCTACACTATTATCCTACTATGTCATGTCAGTTCTTGCAGCTCTCTAACTGCACCAGGAAATATTTCTGCCCTGGATGTCCCCACACTCCCTCACAGGCATGTGGAAATTATTTCTATTTCTAAAGAAAAAAATGGCCCTTCTTTAGAAAAAATGTAACATAATGGAATAGTTTGCTCTCACTTTCTAGACCTAACTGTCTAAGATGATGCCCATGTAATTTTGGATCCTTACAAGATCAGTACAGTTATTTTACTAGCTAAAGTCACACATCTTTCTTGAAGTTTGTGATTTAACAGGATGGATATAAAAAGAGCTCAATTCTTGAAATGACAAAGTAGCAATTGTATTACCTTGTGCTTGCTAAATTTAACCAGCTACAAACATGATTGAAATAGTGTTATCTTGAATTTGCCCCTTAGTGACACAGAAAAAGCTTTATGACACTGCTAGTAATGAGTGATACACACTGGGTTTCCAGGATGAAGACACCACAGAAAACTATTATTATTGGTATTCATATCAAATCCAAGATTAGAAGGTCAGATTGATGAACTATAACTTCTGTGTTGCTCCCCTGCATGTAGGGCACAATGAGAATGCATTTAGATTCCTCTACACTCCGAAGAATAAGAATTTTGTTCATTTTTGTTTGCCTGCCAGTGAAAATAATAGCAATTTCAGCTCTGTTTCATCATACCACATGACTTGGAATTTATGCCTTTTACTTGGCTGGCTTACGATGGCCATTTATAGACCCATAATTTTATGTGCCACCTTCTCATAAAATTCACTCCCAATTTGTAAACCTAAGGCCAATGATGCACAAACCAGGTGTTAGGAGACACATTAGACAGAGTAGTCTCAGAAAAATGAGAACACGCAAGTCTAGGTTAATAACATGGTTCCTTGCATTTCCTTGGTCCCTGGATTTCCAGTTTAGGAAGGCCAACCCATGCACAAAGGACCCTGGCATGCAACTTGGAAAAAGGCAACTGGCGTGGGAGCTCATCTCTGGAATTCATGTAGTTCTACAAGAGGGTCTACATAGAGTCAAAGCCACCATGAG